CCCAAAACCCCAAAACCCCAAAACCCCAAAACCCCAAAACCCCGGACTGAGACTTTTCTATTGAAGCTTAGTTATTGTATGGATAGTGTTGATTACCTGGGTTGTACTGGTAGCTAGGATGATATTGCTGCTGAGGGTGGTATTGTTGTGGTTGGTATTGCTGTGGCTGGTATTGCTGCTGAAGAGGGTACTGCTGAGGCTGGTACTGACCAGGGTAGTATTGCTGGTAGCCATATGGCTGAGCTGGATAAGCCATCTGAGGAGGGATGTATTGGTACATAGGGTATTGCTGGACGTTGAATTGAGGCATCTGGGAGGAGTTTGGCTGGGTAGCTTCAGGTCTTTCAGGTTCTCCAGGAGATTTGGAAGAGGGGGAAGTTGACTCATGTGTCTTTTCATGGGTTGATGGCTCTGGTGGTGCACTCATAGGAGGCATACGGACAGGTGCCATTTGAGGGATTTGTACAGGAGCCATTGGCATTTGGTAAGCAGGCATTTGGTATTGGGGAATTTGGACAGGAACCATTGGAGGAGGATGTTGGTAGTAGCCTTGTGGAGGGTAGGTTGAGTAAGCCAAGTGTTGTGTGTTGTTCTGTTGGTCTTCCATGCTACTATTAAATAGGTTTTTCATGATTGGAGGAATAGTCTTATTTGTCAATTGTTGGACTTGTTGATATGACATATTGGTACCACTGAGACTATTATTCGAAACACCTAGATTTTTGAGTATTTCTTCTTTATGAAGTTCCTCTAAGACTCCCCCTGGATAAGGATACACCATACTTGTATCACTAACCACTTCAGAAGTAGGTCCAAGAGTTTTTGTTTTGCTTTGATAACCTTTTGTTGTGTCTCTTTCAATAGTTTTTGATTCAGTAAAAGCATCACTTTTAGTCTTTTCTTCAGTAATAGTTTCAAGCTCTTGCTTTTTCTTCATATTACTAAAGCCTTCTGGAAGTTTTCCAGATCTTCTTAATGAGTTTAGCTTCTCTTCCTCTTTATTTTTCATGATTTCAAACAGACTGAAGTTATTGTTGTTGTCACTCTGGTTTGTCTTATTGAGTTCTGAAATATCTTTCTGGTCCATTGAGTTCAAAGGTACTCCCTCACCTTCTTTATTATTAATTATGAAATCTGCTTCGGTTATTTATTTCATTTTCAGTCACCATTTCCTCTCTTTTCTTTATTCCACTATAAGTCTCTGCTCCTTTGTATCCCTTTTTGTTTGACTTCTAAAGAATTATGGCAAGATACATTTTTCTCAGTTAGGTTTGCATTTCCTTTGCTCACTGGAGCTGTTTCTTTTCCGGTGTACATCTTGACAGGTCCATCCTTTCTTCTAGAAACTCTTCCTGGCTTCTTAAATAGGCCCTTTAAGTATGCATTTGAACTGGTAGAACTTTGGCCATCTATTTTAGTAAATTAGTATTATTTTGAGAATCTTTTACCTGCATTGGATTCTTCATATTTAATATTTTCTTCTCCCATGTAGTGCTTCTCGCTACCCATAAATTTTTCAGTCCCCATTTTAAACACGCTGTCTACTTCAGATTGGTTACTTCCAGTCACGCTTGTACCTTTAGGATTACCAGCAATATTAGATTGAGACCAAACACTGCCCATGTCTCTAGGGACATCACTGATATCATTGTCTTGAAGGAAGATAGAACTATTAATGGAATCATTTCTGCTCTCATTCAGCGAATCAAGGAAAGAACTAACATCAAGTCTTTTGTTCCTCTGGTCCATTTTCCACCTGACGAACTCAACATTTTTGTACATAGAGTATCCGTAGTCCTCACTTTCATCAAGGTCTTTGCCCATGACTCTTTCTACTAGGTCCATCACGATGCCTTGGCAGAGTCCTATATGTCAGAATTAGACAAAAGATTTGGATATTTCTTACCGCACGTGCTCATGAATTCTTTAGTGTAGAATGTTTCTACTTTACCTGCGCTGAGAACTGAGAGGTTTATATAATCCCATGCTTCCTCACAGACAAATTTCTTAAGCTTTACATCCATCTTTTCGTCGTAACACAGAATCTTGAGATTGCGCTTGTATGCAACACATATTAGGACTAGAATTGTTAGCTCTGTTCTTAATGGGTCTTGAGAGGAGCAGCTCTAAATAGAGATTTTAGAGGTGAAGTTACAATTGTTTGTCCAAAATTTATATAAGAGGCTTAATTCTATGTCAGACAAGCACCTTCATTAAAAAATTTATTGTAAGAATAGTAAATCACTTACAGCATCTAGTTCAAACTTATTGGCTATGTCCTTATTTACTACTAGGAACTGCGTCAAAGTCTGCTTGATTTCTGGCCAATTAGATTGAGAGAAGTAAAGACCATCTGAGAAAGCTCTGAATATCATATTATCTTTCGGCATTTGCTTTATGTAGAAATTTAGAGAGTCCAACTGCTGCTGGATATGAAAATTCATGTCTTCATTGAGAGAGTAAGATGAGGTTATTGCTGGAGAAAGAAGCGAATGTAGCTCATCAGACTTTTCAGTAAGATAGCGAAGTGAAAGGGATACTTCAGATGCCATTTTTGTTAATTTTTATAGTTTCATTTATCTGAATCTGTAATGGGGTTTTGGGGTTTTGGGGTTTTGGGGTTTTGGGGTTTTGGGG